CAGAGCAATGTAAAAAACTGTTAAACACGAACTGGAAACAAAATAAATCGGTTTGATTTAGAATTGAGATTTATGTTTAAAAAAAGTTAGTGCCCGGTTCAAAACTTTAATTATTTTATTATTTTATTTTGAAACATTTAAAATTAGTTATTTACTTCCCTTTTAGAATGTCATTTAATGAATTTTTTTTTACCATGATTTTAAGAATATTTTTATTTTACTTCTATTTTACCCTCATTTAAAAAAAAAACAATTATAATATATAAACAATAAGCATAGCTCTTTAAGTGCAATAGGAGTTAATTGGGGATAAATATATATTTTTATAGACTAATTATTACATTTCTATTTTTTGTTTTTTGAGGAAAATAGATTGAATGGAGGAAGCATAAGAATGCAAAAAGATTTTCTGTTCAATTTGAATTGAATCAAATTGAAACCATACTAAACTTTTCAGAATGATTTATATTCGATATGATTTGAGTGGTGTTTGCTTTTGGATTTTGTTTGAAAATATTTTAAACTAAAAATGAACACACTTATACTATGTTCAATTTAAGGAAAATGGAGAGAAGAGATGTATTTTTTGATAATTAAATTATAATATTTAAAAATATTATAATTTAATTAGTTAAAACACTTATCCCTCTCCCTTTCCTCTCCTCCACTCAAACCAAACATACAACTAAACTCAATTTGTTTAGGACCAAGTTGATCACTTTCAAAGGTTGAGAACAATTTTAAAATTGAGACTAAAAGTTGAGGACTAACTTTTGCTTTTACCCTTTCTTTTTCAAAGTGGCTTGTACCCTATTTTATCTATTTACAATCATAATCTCATCATTCAATTATATCCTTTTTCAATGATAATGAATGATGGCTCAATTTTCATTATCACAGTTTTTTAAAAAATCAAAGTCAACTGAAGTTAGTGAACACTCTTCAACAACTTGTACTCATTGTTCTGTTCTGAATTAAACTACGGAAGTAATTCTCTTCCCATCGGTTTAGAGAGAATGCATGGAAGGTGTTTACTTTATTGCCTCCAAGAAAGGAACAAGTTTGAAAACGCATATATTCTTTCATCTACATTATTTGGGTTTCTCATATTCTCCTATTCAAGTTTTAGGCTGTTAAGAGCAAAGCTTCTAGTAGAATTCTGCTAATTAGATGAATTATTCTCAACTTGCTAACACTAGCTCGCATTGACCAATTTATGGGATTCAACGCTAGTGATTGTGTCCTTGTTTAGGTAATTCGTAAATATTCATTATTCTTACTTTTACTATATTGCTTCTTAAGAGAAGAAAACATACTTGAATAAATTGATAAATGCTTTAAATGAATTGAAATGTTATTGATTTTCATAATAGAAATGCTTTATTTTGAATGGATAATACAATTGAAGAGTTCCTGCAAAAACAGAATAACTACTCACTCTCAAATAAAGAAAATCATTAAAGGCTTAAAGGATAAACTAGGTCATAGAAGCTATGGTTTGATTTTCAAATGAAGGAAAGCTTCAAAACGACTGTTTTGTAATGATAAAATTATTGGGAAAGTCAAAAGCTAATGGCCAAGAGTTTATCAATGAAGTTGCTACAATGGGAAGGATCATGAATTTTGGGTTGAAGAATCACAACAAGCTCTAGAATATGATTTCGTGCCTATTGGTCTTTGGATAAAATCATGTTTTCAAGAGATAGTAACACATCTTTAGGTTGGGAAAAAATGTTCGAGATTGCTCATGGGGAGGCTGGGAGGAGTGAATACTTACATCGAGGATGTGAATGCTACACAATCTCCATTTGGACTAGAATTTTAATCCTTAAGTTTCTAATTTTGTCCTTGCAAAACTATAACTTGTAGATGACAGTGTTGTACCTTTCTCTACAGTGAAAGGTACATGAGGATACATGACTCCCCAATAATTCTACAAGAATATTGAAGGTGTCTCATATAAGGCTGATGTTTATAGTTTAGGAATGTTGTTGATGGAAATGGTGGGAGAGAGAAGGAACATAAACGCATTTGCTGACTAATCTAGTAAAATATACTTTCCAACATGGATTTATGAACGATTTGATCAGGTCGAGAATGTAGAGTTAGGAGATGTTACAGATAATGAAAAGAATCTGGTGAGGAAGATGGTCATAGCTGCCTTCTGGTGCACACAAATGAAACCTGCTATTCACCCTTCAATAAGAAAAGTCTTGGAGATGCTTGAAAGTGAATTTGAGGTCCTCGAAATGCCACCCAAGCCTTGTTTAGTTCCTTCTGAATTGCCGATTGCATTCGCTAGCAATAAAAGTCCTGCAGTGATGCTAGAACTTAATGGTCTACTCCCAATGCATTGTAGATCAATGCTTAGTCAAGGCAAGTGTTGCATACCTTCCCATATCATGCATTGTTTGATTCAGTAAATGGTCAGTTTACAATTTAATTTCTTGGAGTGAAATGTGTCGAATTATTTTTAAATAATTGTTTGAAACAAGGCGATGAAATATTATACTCTGATTTATGTACTTGCTTCCCCTTTTTTTTTTGGGTAGTGAGGGTGAGGCTAAAGCGTATGTACCTGCATAATTGACAAAACAGAGGTGTTGTTAGTCTTGTTGAATTGCTCCCTTTACGTAATGTAACTCTTGTTAGTGGAAATGAATTACCAAAAGCTTGACTTCCGCGTTACAGAAGTTGAAACACTGCTTCAAATAGGGGATCATTTGTCTGATTCTCTAAACTTGAATGGTTAGTTTGGTTCTTCATTTTGTCAACATCTGTCCTGCCTTCTTCTGCATATTGGTTTGTGCACATCATAGCATTGTGATGAATTATTTAGACTAAAAGCTGCAGCATTGTGAAAATGACAAGTGAACAAAATTTCTCAAATTATTATTATTTAAAAAAAAAAATCTAGCTAGTACTAAAAACGGAAAAACTCTATTAAAATTACCCATGCTATTAAACTAGAAATTAATAAAACTAATGAGATTAAAATCATTAAATATCGAAGCCTGAAGGATTCCTGAAAAGTTCATAAAAAGAATAGATTAGCGAAAAATTTTGATCTAGTTGAGGCCGGAGGAGTAAGTTGATTAAAAGTTTAGAACTCAAAAGAATTGTTATACGCCTATAACCTTCTAATTCAGAAATAACAGCTAGTTATCTGTAAACGGCTTCTTTTGTAACGTTAGCACCAATCTTCTCGAAACTAATCATGTTTACTTCTCTAGGATTTATGATCGATAGGATTCAATTATTATAATTTTCATTTTGGAGCACAATTATTTAGATAGAAAACAAAAGAAGTCTAGAATAGAAAGATTTTCTACTATTAGAATTCAGAGATTGCTGCTAATTCTCTGTTTATTGATCTCCAAGGGATGCTGGCACTGGTCTGCACTCCATCTACATGGACTAAGGGATTTCGTGGCACTTTCAAACTGTTGACTTCCCCTTCCAACATATGAACCACAGCTCTCATTGATGAACGGTCCGTACCACTGAATGTACCAAAGTCCAACAATTATAAGCTTTCTTGCTATCTAGGCATGTCACTCATCTTCCATTCTAATCTTCTCCTTTGTCCAAGCAATTATACACCCATGTTGGGAAATAAACTTGGTTCATACCAAAGTAGTCAATACCGTACCGGCATGCGTACCGGATGCCGGAATTTTTCGCGTACCG